TCATCCGTGTAATACTTGCAGTTATTTTCAGAGTTCTTAAAAAAGTTTTTTTCAGGGTCAAAATCTTCGTCCGGTTCATGATAATGTTGTTCGGTGTCTCCAGTTGTGTTCAGTTCCAGATCCAATCCCTCATAAACTATTAACCTCTGTAGCAAATCACTTGCCTCATTCCGTACGTGGGTCATACTTGTTGTTGGTTCCTGCTAATTGTTAGTTCCAACGCTCATCTGCCCTCGCAGATATCAATATACCTGCGTGTTTCTTCATACAGCTGAGGGTCCAGCGACCCCTTCATACTCTCCTTGTCTTGGCATACTGGTCCTTGGCATGCTGGTCCTGGGTCCTGGATTCTGGTTCTGAGGTCTGGTCACTAGTCGGTCATACCGCAGGAACGCGATGTCTCCCCTCACCCTGGCCTCCCTTAACCTCGGCATCAACTCCCTTCTTCTCTTCCTCACAGACTCAGTGTAATCTTCATTTATATAAATATTAGATCCTTTAAGCTTCTTTGCTTGTTGCCGTATGTGTGCCTTATCTTTCTCTTTCATCAACTTTACCATCACCGCCCTCGGTCCCCGATCAGAAGGTTTCCCGACTCTGTGAGCCCGCTTTTTCCAGCTGACTCCTTGATTTTGTTATTGAAATTGTTATTGTGTCTTTGTGTTCAGCTGAGTGAAAACTACACTTGGGGCCGAGTCAAAGACCTGGTGAGGAAGACTAAACTGAGGGAGCAGAGCAGGCTGGGACTGACGTCCTCCTCACTGAAGATGTCTTGCCCACAACTCTATAGGTGAGGAATGTACTACAGATGACATTTTGAACTGTATATTCTCTGTCAGCTGTATACAAACCATATTCATATCAAAATGTTTTTTCTTTGGTGTATTGCTAAATCAACATTAAGTGAAAACATAACCTTTAGCCCTTACTTTTTCTAAATTACAAATTTGTTGGAAAACTTTGTGCTGGTGTTTTATCCACATGCCAAATGCTCACATACTGTGGTTAACTCCCAACCCTCAACCATTAGAATGAACTGAAATGCAAACTGAATATCCTCAAATATGCTCCCACATTTCTGTTTTACTGTGGATCCTGTAGTCTGTATATCTCTCGGTGTTGTACAATATAGAATGTTGCACAGTTTATTACCAAGCACAAATTTTGTGGTCATTTTTTTGTCACCTTTGCAAAAAAATGAAGGCATTACTGCACACTGGAGGAAAAAATAGCACATTTACTGACTTGGACTACATTGTTTTAGATTTTTTTGTATTTCCATTTCTCCTGTTTCCCTCATATAATTAGGATATTATTACAAAACAGAGAAGGATTTGCTTTATGAAAAACATTTTTGTTAATTCAGACAACACTAATCAAATTGAATGCCCCGTGGAGCATTTTCGCCTCTGTTAGCTCGTTTCCTGGCTTTCAACTTACACTCCACTCTTTGCTGGGTTTGCATAAATTGTACATTATGTAAAATAATGCCACATACCAAGCAGAAGCATTATTGATAGAGTTGGCTGTACTGATTGTGGACTTCATTCAGTTTTGAAGGCCAGACAATAGTGTTCTTTGGTTTTTATGCTGCTGTCTTAAATGGCACCACTGGACAGGAGTTGTGCTTGTTTCCCTTGTTCACTGAATAAAACCTAAAAGGAAGAGAAGGAATGCAAGTTATTTGACTGTACTGAATGAAAGCCAGCTCCAGGGGACAGAAATGCATTTTTGTGATGGAAAAGTGGGGACGCTTCAGTGACTTTTGGGGAAGAAGCAGAGTGTGACAGGCTTCTGGCAGATGGAGACACAAGGATTTATTAGCTTCATTTTTGCCTGTGAGAGGAGTCAAAGTGTAGATGAACTGTGGCTGTATTTCTTTATTTCAGAGATTGCACAGTGTAGGAATGTGATGGGAGGTGGAGGACTGCTAGTCCAGCCTCTCCCCCCTGTCCTGACCAGTGTTTGGCACAGACCCAGAAAGATAGAAGAGGGGCTTAGAGAGTCAGGCTTAAGGTATGCTTGGTGGAGTGGGAGAATTCCCCTGTGGTATTAAACTGAGGCCTGTTGAGATATGGCTGGAGTCATTTTGTGTTTCTACACATGAACTCCAGATTGTGTCTGCAGAATCAGGCCCTGACTTTGTTGAGAGTTGCCCTTTGACACATGTAGCACACAACTAGATGTAGTCTGTGTCAGACGTGTTCTCACCTGATGAAAATACTTCATTTGGTTTATGTGCAGGGGATGAGCCTGGGTAGAATGAACAGGAGGTGGGACATGACGCAGTCACAGAGCCAATTTGTAATCTGGTCATAAACAACCGAGTCTCTTGCCTCATCTGACAACTCTGGCACCAGCTCTTAACAACAGAAGTTCCTGAAACACGTTATGTCTCCAGTTAGATACTTTAATTGGTGTTTTCTCTGTAAATGATCATTTCTTTCATCATCAGATGTTTGTTTTCTTCTGGTTTCACATTGGCCATGTGATAGGATGTTATCAACGCCCACCAGCTCCATGTGAATGCTCCTGACTATACGCTGCTGTATTCTAACATGTGCTCACTCTGTCCTTACATGGACTTTGTACTAGGGAGCTGGCAGAGAAAAGGTCAGGGTCGACTGACCTGGACATTTACGTTCTCACATACAGCTTCTCTGGATAATGTCTAGAAAACTTCAGGGTTCCTGTACATCTGAAAGGGGCTCAGGATTCATTAGAAAGAGCACCACTGTCCTGCTGCAACATGCATGCCAGCCTGCTACATCACTTCTGAAAGTGTGAGAGAAATGGACAATAAATGTTTTCTCATACAGTCAGGCTGAGCAGCTGTAGTGCTCAGATGTCCATCCTAAATATCAGTGGCTCTCGTTAACAGCTGCTTTTTTTTCTTTACAGGTCTGATCTGGGACCAGTTGAATCTGCTGGCAGAGACTGGAACTTTCCTTGATCCACCAGAGCAAATGGGACTTCCCTTGACAATTTTAAACATCCAGGTAGTGCAGACTACTTTTATCTTGTCTCACCAGTGCTGCCATAAAGGTCTATCTATACTGATGATAGGTCAGAATAATGGCTTTAAAAATGAAGCTGGGTTTTGTTATTTTTATTGTCTACAAATCCCATGTAAAGACCAAACCATAGGTTCTCTATGCAAGCAGCTGTCAATCATTAAAATATGTAATCGCATGATTGTCCATAGTTAACTCATGATTAATCACAAATTAATAACACTTTTTAATCTGTTTTAAACAGTAGTGGAAAGAAATTAACTTTTCAAGTACTGTACTTAAGTACAATTTTGAGGTATCTATACTTTACTTGAGTATTTTCATTTTTTGTTACTTCATACTTTGACTACATCACATTTTAAAGGCAAATATTGTACTTTTTACTCCACTACATTTATTTTATAACTGTAGTTACTGGTTAATTTCAGAACCAGATTAATGCAGAAAACTACAGTATAATTATAAGACCTCATTGGTTTGTGGTGGAAAATTCACTACTACCCAGCAGTAATTCAAACTAAATACATATAAGCTAGCTAGATAATACGTTACACATCCAACAATCAAATACGTTCCCTTCAAAACTTATCTGCATTTGCAGTTTAGTTGCATACTCTAGGAGCGTCGTTTTTAGAGAGGGTTGGCTCATTTGTCCAAAGGAAAAGCTATGAAATATTAAACTAACACCCCAATCCACACATGATATAATCATGGTTTAAAGCGAAGCCTGACCACAGGACGTTTTCTTTACTTCTAAGAAGACATTCATATAGCAGCCTATGGGCTATGGTTTGTGTATGCACAGTGTGCTTTACCTGTGAGTGTAGGCTTTGAATGCCTACATCTGTATGTTAACATTATTGGTGGGCTATTGGAACAAAGCCATTTTTTTCCCAGTATTTTTTCCATGTGTCCGCTGAAATTCAGCACGAAGGTGAAAAGTCTGCTCTCTCCTAAACTCTGCCCTCCATCTTTGTCTGCTCCTCAGATCAGAGCCCGACATTCTCATATGGGGAGGATTCACAAAGATGATTTAAGACTGAAAAAGAAATGGAGATGAAGAAAGATACTGACATAGAGAGGACCCTTGTGTGAGCAATGCTGCTGATGCATGTAAGGGAAAATGACAGTGTTTAATAAACATTGTCATTGTGACACCATGACTGTACAATATATTGTAGTGTACATGAAAAATATGTGATGGTCTTATGAAATTAAGAAGATGCAGCTAGTATATGTTTAAAGTAACACTGTGACATAATTTAACTGCATTAAATATTCTCTGTTAATATCATTTACACACTAGTATAGTTTTCTATTAGGATACTGCAAGATCTCTACCGATCCAAATAATGTGAAACATGCAGAGTCAGCATTTTGTAATATTTCATTTTTATTTTGTACAGTGTGTGGCATGCACAGATAATGTATATGAAAAGTACAGGAGATAAACTGCAGAGCTCTAATGTGTATGAGTCATGTTAACATACAGTATGAGCTAAGATCCTTATCAGATGGACATGGACAGATGGTGGCTGTCTTCTTACTGCATTTTAAATACTTTATCATTTCATTCCACTGATCTAAAAAAATGGCCTGTTGTCTTACTGGTCAGTGTTGTAACTGACTTGTACAGTCTAAACAACTAAACTAAAACAGTAAAAGAAATATAAAAAATAATTACTTTCCTGCAGTTATTAGTAGGACTCAAAAGGTATTTCAGTTGTAGGTAAGTATTTCAGTTGTTAGTTACAAAAATAACAATAAAGTAATTTAACTACTCATTATGCAAATATGAATGTAGTTGAACTACCAGAAAGCTACTGCAAAATGTCAACTACCTGCATAAGATCATGTAGTTCCTTCCTTTAGCAAGATGCTGTTTTTCAGGGGTTAGCTAAATGCATGTACACTTCTTGGTGAACAAAGAGGCAAAGAAACAAAACTAATATTCCAAAGTTGCTGTTTTGTCGACTTTTAAGATTCAAATAAAATGTATGGTTCCTAAGCAGTCATGATTCTCAGCAATGTCTACTATTAAAAAATAAATCACAATCTTAGCAGATTGCAAGGTTAATGACTGTGACTCTCATTTGTCATCACAAGAAAAGCCGGTGTAAAAAATGTCACCACACACTCAGTCCCACAACAGAACATTCAAACGTAAAGTTGGTGATGTGTCAGCAGCATTGTTTAGGTACCATGACACCAAGGGATACTTCATAGTACACTAGGTAAAAACAGTTTACTACATACTGTACTCCTCTTGGATCAGTAAAAGAAGAGATGTATGCAAGACAGCAAGAAATGTGTAAGTTTGTCTGTAGGACATCGACCAACTGTATATGTTTGGTATGTTACTGTGTGCAAATGCATCAACATCCAAATTTATTTTTCAAAATAAAGTTATCAAAACAAGATTGTGATATAATTTTTTTCTACAATTTTTGCTCCAGTGGCAAATGAAAAAATGTGAGATGAAAAAAAATATGAGAGAAAATGTTGCGATTTTATTGTCCACCCCTTGTTTTCTCTAGTGCATGTATGAATGCTTTTCTTATACATGTTTGCCTTGGTATGTAAAAAAAGAAAGACTAGATATAAAGATGGAAGCTAAAGTCGATATATAGGGGGTCAAAGATTAAGGTCCTATCGACCACACATATCACAGTTGGACACCAGATGACTCGACCCCGAGGCAGAGAGGACAAGACAAGTAGGTCAGTCTGATAGCAAACTTTATGCTTTTGTGGATTCTGTTCTTGCTTTCTGCCAGTAATCTTGTCAGCAGGTCAAGATGCAGATGGGAACGGCTGGCCGGTGGCTTTAGCCATCTCAGTTCTTCTCTGCAGACTTTTGGAGCAGTTGACAGGAGAGGGCAGAGTGATTTCCCTGTTTGTCTCCAATCCAGATGCTGGCCAGGGCCAGCTCTGCTTAGCTTTTAATGTCCCGTGAGTTCAGGCATTTCCAGAGTGTAGCGGCTGTAGACAGGTTACAGATAGGCAGCTTGACTTCTCTCCTACAAGCGTGGACCGGCGAGCAGACCACAGGTAGAGGCAGCTTTACTTCTCTTCTTCACAGGTGTGAGCACGGGCAGGTAAGCGGTCCAAAAGCTTCTCTGACACGAAGACACACATGAGTGCAAAGACGATCTGACAAGGAATCATCACAGCTTGTATGCATGGTAATAATCAGGCCAATAGTGAACGGCTGGGGCCAAGCAGCCAGTTGAAAGGATATCTGGTTTATTTTCAGCTGTCAGATGGAAGTTCACATTCAGGGGAAACTTCTGCAGTTGGTGTTGACAGGAGGGTTTGGAAGAATGTATACTGTAAGTGGGTTGGAATGGCAAGTAGTAGTGATGTCCAAATGAAGCAATGAACGTGTATGGAAACACTTCATCAATTGTACTGAACATCAGCTCATTCATTCAAAGGTTTGTTTCATCTAGTGGTGAAATAGGAGACAGCAAAACAATGTCTGAATTATGTGAATGCTCCATGATGGTGATCAAACACAGGCAGCAATGATAATAATGACAGCAACTACACACACACCTACTGTGACAAGAAACCCACATGTTGTGCATCATTTACACACCTACGAACCTGCTGACGCATGCAGCAAGATCTCACGTTATGAAGCAGTATCACAGGATTCACTCTGGGGACTGAAGCAGTTTCTGCCTCGGACGTCATCAGTCATGTGTCTTTTTCGGCAACAAAGCAGACTTCGAAGCAGTGGTTCACGGAAAATGCCTCTTTGAGTTTGAAGCTTGTATTTGAGCCTCAGTTTCAGACAGCCATCACTAGCAAGTAGTAGCGGAGGAAGGTTTGAGGATGATGATGTGGGTGTTGATTGAAAAAGAATCGTAAATAATCAGAAGGGAAAGAAAGATAAGGTTAATCCGTTGCCATTTTCAGGTAAGAATGCTTCATGAAGATAAGGAAACATGTGATGCACAGAAAAAAAATTGGAGGAGTTTAAGGTTATTCTGAAATTTAAACCAGGAAGTGAAATTGTCTCAGTGAGCCAGTTTGCCTTAACAAATGGGCCGAGGAAAACGATTGGAGATACGGAAATGAGGTGTTTTGAGATGGGAACCTGTTGGTGAAATGTAAAACTGCCGAGCAACGAAATAAGGCCACGAAATTGCAAACACTATGTGAAGAGGATATAGCAGAGAGAAAAGAGATTCGTATGAGAGGTAACATGAGAGGAGTTGTAACGGGTGTTCTATGGGAGAAAACTTGGAAGAACTGACAAAGACACTTAAAGGAGGGACGATAGCAGGAATTATTCAGGTCCGTCCTTAGTTTTAGACAGTCAGGTGTTCAGGAGTGGAGAAAAGATTGACAGTGAATTGGTCTCTCTTTTTTTTTTAGTTTAAAGATGAGGTATTGCCTGTTAAGGTAATAAGAGATACATGAGTTTTAATGTAAGGGAGTATGTTCCTCCTCCTCTCTGATGTTTTAAATATCAAATTGTCATGGTTTGGGGGTGGGGGTTACAGAAGACAGTGGTCACTGAGCAGTGCTTCATTTTGTGACTTTTTCTTTTAAAATAAAAGAGCACATTGTTATTTCTTTAAATTGTCACCAAACCATTGATCAGAGACAGGAAATGTGGGAAAAATGTGTTGCGATGCATGTCTCTCAAAGTGGCATGCCTACATTTTGTACTGGTGCTTGTAAAATTTTCAACAAGGAGCACCAGTGCTGCTAGTGGAAAAACAATTAGTCTGGAGTCCTGCTATGCTTTGCATTTTATCAGAGGGAATATTACTGATGTGCGGTTCTACAGCTGTTAGCAATGATGCAAAAGTAATTAGTAATTGTAATCAGAATTTACTGTTCACCTTGGCATTAACTACTCAGTGTACATTATATAGGGAGTGGTAAATTAGGGAGTGATTTTGTAGTGGGACACCGCCAAAATAAATGTTTTAGCAAGCACCTAGCTGGCATTTCAAATACAAAGCTTTTGTAAACCACACACTCCCTTCTGTCTCTCGATTTGTCCATCTGTCTATTTATCGCCTTTCCTGTCTGCTTTTCTCTCTGCATGCTGTCTACAGAAACCAGGCCCAGCTTCAAAAGGCAATGGCAATGGGCACCTGGGCTAGGATGGATTATAAGATAAGTAGTGGACACACTCACCCTTTGCTTGTGCGTTTCTAGATCTCTAAACCCCAAAGTGCTGCTTCGCTCAAGAACCATCAGGTGTGGCCAGAAGCTTTTGTCTTTCCCCAGAGCTACAGACTGCCTGGGGCCTCCAGATGTGTCCTGAGACTATCTGAAGCCCCCTTCTTATTTTAAGGTTGCCTCAAAACAAGATTCTGCACCTAAGAAGGTCTCAGTAATCCCCAGTACCAGAGGTTATGACCTTTAGACCTCAGACTTTTGTGGGACCCTCAGATGTGGCCTGAGGCTTTCTGAGGGCCTGAGAATAGAAGAAGCCTCAGAAACCAAACACAATACATGTCTCCACTTGCAGATTCTGACATAGAGCTTTAGCCCCAGCCTCCACCTATAGCCTCTTCCCGCACTCTGCATTGTCCACCTCCACCTGCATTTTCTGGCAGACAGCTGCAGCAACAGCCTGCTCCATCTAAAACCTCCTCCAGCCACATTCTTTGAGCCCTGTCAGCTGAAAAGCATCTGTCAACATCCACCTACCTCTGCTGCCAGTAACCTGCGGCCTCCACCTCCACCTGCAGATTCTGACCTTCTCTCAACATCCATCTTCTGCAAAGAATCTGCAGCCCCATCATCCAGCCCCTGCAAGCACTCTGCAAAGGAAATGTAACTTTTTTTTCTTTTTTACATATATCTGATGTCATCACCCTGCAGACATTTGATCACTTTATGCTACTCCAGTAAATAAAGTGGATTAATTTGCTAAACTAAAACATAGTGTACAATAATCCAACCTGTCAGGCTGTGTCCTGTATCAGTCACAGTGACCATATATCTACAGGAGACAATGCACATGCCTATGAAACAGTCTAAGACTTTCTTACTGTCAGTGAACTCCACGTCACAGGGCCTGACGCTGTTGGATCTCTTCATTAAGAAGCTGGTCCTTGGAGTGTCAGACATCATAGAGAAGAGCTCAGCAGCGTGATCCTCGCTCCTCCTTCTGTCTGTCTCCTCTTTGTCCTGACTAATTCTCTCCTCCTGCTCCTCCTTTTGTTATTCGCCTCACTTTCTCCTTGCTTCTTCTCAGAGATATATTTCTCCACGATCTTCCTATGTTTTAACTTTGTGTCTCTCAGCAGCCCCAGGCCCTCCTCTACTGGCACCTTCTCATGCTCTGTCCTGCCCTCATTCTTCCTCTGATGCCTCCTCAGGGGGTTAGGGCTGGGGAGGTAGGGTCGATCTTTAAGGTTAAGTTATTAAAGGTCTTAAAAAGAATCTTCTTTCCAAGTTCGTCAAGGATGTCATCTCGTATCGATGCTGTTGATCTGCACACACACAAAGACACAGCAGTTATTCCACTTATACCCAGATTTTTTCCAGCTGCACATTGAGGATATTTTCTCTTATTGAACCAGATTTTTATTGTAACTAAACATTTCCTAACTTTAACTTGACCTAAAATTAACTGAGCATACTGCCTGTGGTCACTGCTCTTTATTGGACTGTGCACAGACAAAAATAGTTTATTTTTAGAAAGGCCTACCGGAAATACCACAACAATGAAAAGACTGCATTGTAGTTTCATATAGAAAGTACTTAAGATGTAACCAACATATTATACATCTAAATTGGTTATATTTTTAACATAGAATTGTTGCAACTATTTCAGTTAATACAACAAATGACTGAACTTCCACTGCTAACAAATGCAGTAGTAGTAGTAGTAGTAGTAGTAGTAGTAGTAGTAGTGGTAATCGCTAGTTCAAGACAAGATTTTCTGCATCATGATAAGAAAATGGTTTTGCGATCAGCAAACTGCACACAGGAATTAAATAAAGAATCGAGACGTCACATTTACTAAAGTAGCAGTTAAATAACTTTTAATTTTCATGACCATTGTAAAACTAACTGCAGGTCCCAAGTGTAAGTACTGGAAACTTTTCAGTCAGTTGATATTTGCAAAGAAAAACTACAAACCCAGCCCATTTTGCACACATGCAACTTAGGCAACAACTAAAGCAAAGTTTACTTATGAAATCTGTGTTGTACAAGACAGAAAGAGCATTTGCATCTCCTGTTTACAGCAACAGGTACACATCTTACTCTAATGTTATTTGGAATTTAACAAATGAAAACAGTAATATCTTTGACAGAAAAACACAAGAAAACTAAATCCCCTCTTTCCACACCACAGTACAGTTTCATTAAAGCAAAAATATTAATTAAAAAAGCAGTTTTTATCCCAGCTGCAGAGTGGACCTACCTCTCT